AAGATTTTGAAATTTCATCTGACTTCCTTTGGGCATGTTGTAAGGAGAGACCACTCCGTGGAGAGGGACATCATGCTTGGGAGGGTGGAGGAACAGTGCAAACGATGACCCTGGATGAGATGGATTGACTCAATGACTGGGTAATGGGAATAGATGTGTCAGAGATAATTAAGTTGGCTCAGAATAGAGCAGGGTTTAGGGCACATACCAACAACAATCTTTTCCAGAGAATATATTACCTTTAATCAGAGAAGAATACGTCTTGGGGAAAAAAAATTGACTACGAATACACTCCTAAAATCTTACTTTCCATACCTCACCTTGTTGGTCAACAAGAGGGTCTGTCGATTTTGGAAGTATATTCTACCCCTAAGTCTATCATTTAAATGGAACCTAAAAGAAAGAAGTTAGGGGTTGTTTTAGGGGTTGTTAAAGCCTCCTTGTCTTTCTGTGTGCTCTTTTCTGTGCCCTAACTGTTCATTATTATTTTTGCTAGCTGGAAAAGTCCTATTCACACTTCAAAACCCTGTTTGGTTATGATTTCTTTTGTGAAAAAAAACTTCCTATTTTCAATCTTTGTTTAAGCAGGTGGCCGTTGCCTTTAAATTTCCATAGTCCTTCTCATTCGACCTTTATTTGGCATAAAGTTTGGGGATATATACATATATATATATATCTCAAAACAAGTGAAAAAGGTTAATTAAGGTAATAAGACAGAGGCAAAGCTAGAGAAGGGTAGGCCACACAGAAGGGTTAAAGTGAGAAAGAAGAAAGAAAAGAGATAAAAGACCCTTGGAAAGACAGGCGTGAACCCAAACCTTACAGCATGCTGTCAGTAGAAAAGGTGGCATGAAGTATTTTGAGTGCTGCCTGCCTTCCTCAGTAAAATAAGGGCTTCTCAGTGCCAGCAGCCATGAATCATGTTTTCTTTTTTTTTTTCCATCCAGTTTTTCTCAGTCTTACCCCCACCCCAATGCCAGCCTCATTCTACAACAGTGGCACCATATAGCATTTGTCCCTTTGTGACTGAGATACCTCACTCAGCATAATGTCCTCCAGGGTCACCCATTTTGAATAATATTGCATGAGTTCCTTGTTTTTCAATGCACCATAATATTCCATTGTGCGAATATACCACAGCTTCTCTACCCATTCGTTTGTTGATGGGCATTTGGGTTGTTTCCAACTCCTTGCTATTGTAAACAAAGCCGCAATAAACATGGGTATGCATATATCTACTTGGCTGCCATTTATGGTCTCTTTAGGGTACATTCCCAGTAGTGGAACTGCTGGGTCAAATGGTATCTCTATTTGCAACTTTTTAAGAAAGTGCCACAATGCTTTCCACAGTGGTTGCACCATTTTACACTCCCACCAACAGTGAATAAGGGTTCCAGTCTCTCCACAACCTCTCCAGCATTTGTTGCTTGCTGTTCTGTTAAATTTTGCTAGTCTTACTGGAGTGAGATGATATCTCATGGTTGTCTTGATTTGCATCTCTCTCAGAGCTAGGGATTTTGAACATTTCTTCATGTGCTTGTTGGCCATCTGAATGTCTTCCTTGGTGAAGTGTCTGTTCATATCCTGTACCCATTTTTCAATTGGATTATTCACCTTTATCTTGTTGTGGTGCTCAAGTATTTTATAAATTCTAGATATAAGTCCCTTATCTGACATATCATTACCAAACACTTTTTCCCAGTCTGTGGCTTCCCTTTTTACCCTGTTAGAGAAGTTTCTAGATGCGCATAGGGATTTGATTCTTAGAAGGTCCCATTCATCTATTTTATCTTCTCCTGGTTGTAAAGAGTCACATTTTCTAATCTTTCCTCTCTTTCATCCCCACCAGGTAGTTTTAGTGAAGCACTGGACACACAATGAAGACAGTCCAACTCATGGAGACCTCATGTGACAGAGTAAACAGCTCTGTCAGGTTTTCTTATCGTTTTTATTGAAGTAGATCATTAGGCCCTACCCTCCCACTCTCCACTCCCCACCCCTGTAGTGCTTCTAGGCAGCTTCAGTCAACCTTCAGGCTCACTCCTTCACTCATTGCTTTCATTTCGGAACCGACTCACAGCTGACCGTCTAGCAGGTTTTGAAGGCTGTAAATCTTGAGAGGAGACTGCCCATCTTCCTTCCAAGGAGCAGCTGGTGGATTTGAATTGCCAGAGAGGCTCTGCCTATGGGTGACAGGACAACTCCTCCAAACTCGCTGTCAGAGCTCCCTATCCTTTAGGTCAGTAGCCAAGCAAAACCATTGGGACAACCCTGGGACCTGGCTAACATGTGATGGGTAGGCAATACATGCCTAGTGAATTACTGAACAACAACCAAATGAATGACTTAATTAATAACAGACTTTTTTCCAAACTTTTTAATTCAAAATTCATTGCTCCTAAAAAAAAAAAAAAATCCATTGCTCCTTCCACTATACTTAACAGCTTGACCTGTCAGTAAGGACTTGAATGGAAAGGCCATGTCACTCTGGAAATTTGAATCTCTCAGCAGTTCCACAGGATAAAAAATGGGCAATCTCCTTTGATTTACAGCCTCAGAACCCCAAAGGTAGGTCAGTTATAAATCACCTCCAACTTGACCCAAGGAGATGCGAGAGGAGATGATGTGTTTTCTTTTTTTGAAATAAAGGTTTTTAGGGTTTTAAAAAAATTATTTAATTGAAGCACAAGCTTGTGTTTTTGTGTGGTGGGGTAGGATGTTCCTGGTTTAATATTGTACTATTTTTGTAATAGGGAAAAAAATCTTTGGGGGGATATTGAGACAGAAATGGCCCCTTTGGTCCTAGTATCAGTCAGTGGTCTGTTTGCTATTTACCTTCTGTTTCTTAGCAAAACTGTCTTTGTTATGAGGCTGTGAGATACAATCCGAACCAGTTGACCCAGGAGGGCTTAGTATTAATCATCCACTATTATAAGAAAGTGACTGGCTTCCCAGAAGGCAGAGAGGAGGATCAGAAGCAGCCACTCAGAACCGCCTGATAGTGCTTAGTGTCAATGACAAAAATGACACAACAGCCTTCTCAGAACCGGGACTTCGGGACCCCTGGGTCCTGGAGAAAAATCAGTTCCCTTAAGGATGGCAGGATTTCAGAAATTTCTGAGTATTAACAGCTTATTTCACTTCAGCTCTAGGGAAATGAAAAGGTTGAAAAGACTAAAACACACAAAGGCACAGAAAGAAAAAGTCTAATTCTAACTTCTCCTTGGCTAGTATCTCGTCCACGTAATCCTCCAGTGGGGACACAATGACAAGCCAGGGCTTTGGCTATCAGCAGCTCTTTAGGGCAGAAAGTGCTTCCTGCCTGTGGGAGAGCCATCAATCCCATTACGTGGTTCCTGCCAAGCCCTCTGAGCTCTGCCAGGCACCTTCTTACGTGCTATGTCATTTGATCCTTCAAAGAACACTTTGAAGCAATTAGGAAAAGAACAACTGTCTCCTTTTATAGATGGGAAAGCTGCTGCAATGAGAACCTCTGTGGTTCACCTGCATGGACACTGCATGTTGGGCGACGTGGTGAGAGAGGACATCAGGTTTCTAGGACTTAACACCAAAAGGTTGGAGGCTAAGTTCACCCAGAGCAGTTTGGGAAAAAAGGCCTGGCAATCTACTTACAAAACAGGACTGACATGAAGATTTAGGGGAACTGAGAAAAGAGGTGATAAGTAATGAAAACTGCATTGGAACAGATGAAGGAAAGAACTGTTTAAAAGGAATATATGATTAGGCATTATACATATGACAACGGCCCAGAATAAGAGATACATTGCAAAAAGGACTGGGGGAAGGGAGGTAATCATGCAACTTTTAAAAAAGTAAACTGGGGGAAGAGGAAGGGAGAGGGAAGGGGTAAAATCTACAACAATGAATGAATGAAAATCTAACTTTTCTGTAAACTTTTGTTAAGTCACAGTTAAAAAATAAAAACCTATTTTTTCATTTCAATATTAATATATTAACATTATATATAAATATAATTAATAAAATATACAAATAAATGAATAAGTTTATACATTTATTTAAATGAAACCCAGAGCACAGATGTACTTCAACACATGGCTTTGTACCAAATTGTGGTTGATTCAAAGGCACCACCTGGTTTTAGTTTTTGGTTTAATTTGGTTTAATTTAGTGTGTTGTGCTGTGTGCTGTCTGAACCAATTGAGAGCTGGCCCTCTAGTGGGTTTTCAGAAGTTATAAATCTTATTGCAGAAGATTGTCCAGGTTTTTCCCTTGGAGCAGCTGGTGGATTTGGGCAATGTGCCTCTGGATTGACAGCTCAGCTCCTTACCAGTAGGCCATGAGAATTCCCTTGGATTTAGTGTAAATCCAATATATCTTATTACCCGGACAATGACATTCTTAGAAAGGAAGAATAAATTTTAGGACTAAATCTGAGTAAGTGGTTTTGTATATTCCATATTTCCTTAGCAATATAAATGAAGATCTTCTATTGAAGAGGCAGTCAACTATTAACAGCATCACTTCAAATCTAGAGCCTCTTAGAAATGAAGGTTTCTCAGCCCCCTCTCCCCCACAGCCACCAATCCAGAATCCCAGGTGGTTTAAGAAGTTCTAAGCTAGATGTTAAGGTTGTCTAGGATATTCTCACTTCTATTGGGATGATTTTTCAAGCCTTACACAGAAAAAACCCAATAACAACATTCGATGTTTGTATGTAATTTATATACACAAATTCAGCTTATTCATTCCTTCCAGGAACCCAGAGAAGGATATAACACCAGGTGTGTTTGAAATTTACCAAAAGAGAGAATAGAATGTCAAAGCGGTGAAGCGACTTGTTCAAAGCTATCTATGTAAATGTCTGGACTTACATGCATATAACTTATACCTAGTAATTATTCATGAAGTGAATGAATAAACCCTCAGAAACACTGGTTCAGATGATTTCCTTTCCACTGCACTGCGAGGGAATGGTTCACTCTGCCTGTATTTAGAGTATTTGCTTTGTCTCTTGTTAGACTTTCCTGTGATCAGAGAGTCTTCAGGATGCCAAACTGGGGTGGAGGTGCAAAATGTGGAGCTTGTGAAAAGACTGTGTACCACGCGGAAGAAATCCAGTGCAATGGAAGGAGTTTCCACAAGACCTGCTTCCAGTGCAGTGAGTGGAGTGAATGCCATGGCGGGTGATGGGGAGGGGAGTGCAAGGACAGACAGTTGTGCTTTGGCTTCTGGGAGGCCTTTCAAAACACCCATTTAACACAGATAATGATGTGTTAATGGATGTCAAAATGTAGTCCCCAAACGAGCAATGTCCACATCATCTGGGAGCCTGTTTGTTTTGAGACTTTCAGGCCCCACTCAAGAAGGGCTGGCTCCCCTGATTGTCCAGCTCTCCAACCATCCCAGAGGCTCCTTCTCTGTGAGTTCCCATTAACGGTGGCCTGCCATTGCTGTCTCTGCTGAAAGCCTTAACCAGTCATGACATTTGCATGGTGTGACTTTGTAAAGGAAAGAAGCCAGCATTTACTTGGAGCCAAGAAGGATTTGGTTCTCGCTGTGGCCACACTGGCCAGTTGTTACTGAAGCCAGCTGTGACCGGTGCTTCCTAAGAAAGAACTTGGGAGGGGGACCAGCACGTGCCAATTCTCTGAGAGTCAGAAAAAGAAGTTTCAGGGCCTCGCCACCAAATCTGAGGGAAGCCTTTACCATCACCTGCTGGTCACAGATGGGAGCTTTGGTGGCTGGACACAGATTCATAAATGCCAGAGCTGGAGAAGACTTTCAGATCTTGTGGTCCACCCCAGAATCTGGCTTTGTGCTAATGCATGTGACCGTGAAAAAGTCCCTGTTCACCTCTGAACCCAGATCACATACATCTGTGGAGAGCCAGAATTAGAATTGGTAGCTTCAGATGCCCAGCTTTCCCGGGACACTACTGCACTTTACAGTTTCCTAATTTGTCTTGGGAGAAGTAGTCAAAGTGTTCTTTAGAAGCAAGGATGGTGAGACTTCATCTCACAGACTGAGCATGTTATCAGAAGGATGGAGACCCCGGAAACAGACATCATGCATCAGTGAAATCAAGGATGGCTTTCAACAAGATGATCTGACAGTGATCAACAGTGGACAGAAGCAAAGAAGAGATTGTAAGATCAGCCAGGGTCTCAGTCTGTTGTGCACAGGGTTGCAATGAATCAAAGCTGACTTGCTGACAACAACAGGGAGCTCTGGAGGTCTAGTGGGGAAGGAGCTGTGCTACCAATCCAAAAACAGGTGAACTGAATCCACTAGCTGTTCTGCAGAAATAGATGGACCATCTCCACCTGTTTGCATTAGAGCATTTGAGAAGTTGGTTTTGACTCTAGGACAAAGAGGTTTTTGTTTTTCAGATGTGTGGCGGAATTTTCATGAAAGACATCTGGAGGGTAGTTTTAGTGATTATCTGGCTTTTCATCTTTCTTTGAGTCACTTAACCTTTTCTTTTTCCTTTTTTTTTTTTAGGAAGGGATTACAGGTTTTAATTTTTATTCTTTTAATTTCATTGCTATCTCACTGTCCCCCTTTTATTCTTTTTAAATTAACATTTTTATTTTATAGTGGTTTCCTTACAAAGTTAGTATACATAGTTTTTCATACCTGATCTTTCCCATTTCCTTTACCCACTTTTCTCTCCACCCATTATATTGTGCGACCCTATGATTACACCCCCACCCCCTGCCCATCCTCACCCCTCTGCTCCCTCTCCCCCTTAGCCCCGTATTATTATAGAAACAGATAACTAGTAAAACGTGTATGAGGATCAGAGGTTTTTTTAGTAACAACAACAACAGTCCGGTTTTGAAGGCCCAGAGTGTTGTAAAATTTTAATATGTTAGCTGAGAGGTTATGATTCTAACTCACCCAGAGTTACTGGGGAAGGAAGGTCTAGATCTACTGCTGAAAACCAGCCAACGAATACCTAATAGAGAACCAGTCTACTCCTATACACCTGAGCACCACCTGTTTCAGTGGGAACCAACTCTCTAGCAACTAGTTTGGGGAGGAATTGACTACAGCTCTGAAATGTTTACTTGCCTCTAGCAGGCCCATCTTAAGAGCTAGATTTCTGAATACTTAGCAGGCTCCATCTCCAGAGAGGAAGTTGTTGTAGTTAGGTGCTGTCGAGTATAACCCATGGTGACCCTGTGCCCAACAGATCTGAACTTTGTCCTATCCTGTGTCGTCCTCACAATCTCTGACACACTAAGCCCTTTGCTGCAGTCACTGTGTCAAACCATCTGGTTGAGGGTCTTCCTCTCTTTCCCCAACTCTCCACCTTTGTAAGCATGATGTCCTTCTCCAAGGAATAGCCTTTCTTAGCCCAAAGGATGTGACATGAAGCTTCACCACCCTTATCTCCAAGGAGCACTGTGGCTGCACCTTCTCTTAAGAGCCATGAAAGGTAGGGAATTGCTCAGTCCTAAGACTTAAATGGTTAAGGAAAATAAAATGAAACAAAACAAAAAAACCCAAGTTTCTTTTCTGCATGAGAATCTACATATATACATATATTTCCTCCTTTCATTTCATTTGAGCAAAACATCCAGGAATGTTCCAGTTCAGGGACAATGTCCTTAGTTGGTTCAAAGTACACACCTGCTTCCAGTTGGGACTCTACCCCTTCATATTACTCCCTGCTCTCTGTGCCTCCATTTCCTTCTTTGTGAGATCAGAACATGCTTGGAATCTATGGTTCTGGATGTGCTTTAATGAGGGGTCACAGTTATGTTCTGGGATGGAGAATGTCTCATATTGGGTTTCTTACCTCTGTGCATGGCAAGTCAGTGCAGGGAAAGAGACAGAAATTTTAACTCCAAACCTCTGCCCCTCCTTTCCTCGGCAGTGGCCTGCAGGAAGGCTCTCGACAGCACCACAGTCGCAGCCCATGAGTCAGAGATCTACTGTAAAGTCTGCTACGGACGCAAGTACGGACCCAAGGGGGTTGGATTCGGACAAGGCGCCGGCTGCCTCAGCACCGACACAGGCGAGCACCTCGGCCTCCAGTTCCAACAGTGAGTTACTTCCTCCCGCCTCTGAGAGTCTTCCAATTATCAGGACAGTTCATTCTGCTCCCATAGCAACGTGTTCTGGAAGTGGGAGAATGGACTCTATTGTTGATTTACCCACAATAGGAATACTCAATCTGACCAACTCATAACAATACGTCCCCTCTCTGAAGACTCTTTTTAAATGATCTGTTTTTCTATAGAGCAATTACTTTTACACCATGGCCCTTGGTTTACATGTCAACAGAGAAGCTAGGATGTACAGATGTTCCATTGTGTGACCTTTGTAAAACTCCATGGCGTCTCTCTTCTCCTTTGAGACTTCCCGTGTAAATCACATAAATATGGCAGGGAAGCAATGGCCAGGCTCTCTGTGCTTGTCACAAAAAGATTTCTGCCCCTGGAGAACAGAATGACTAATGCTCCCACTGCGCGGTGGGTGGGTCTGAGGGGAAGAGCTGTGTCTCCGACTGAACCATCAATTACCACCCCTTTGACTGTGCTGTGAGTCTCCCTGGCTGTTTGCTGCTGATACAGGGCTGAGGTTCCACCCCCACCATTATCCCAGAGATGCTGGGATAGCATACAATGCCACTTCCGTGGCCCAGTCCCCAGGCCCACTTTTCTTGATGATCTCCCCAACTTCCAGCCCAGACCTGAAGGTAGTCTGACTCCTGCTAGCCTGTGGTCACTGTCTGACCACCTGGTATCTGAGCTCAAATCCTAAAAGAAGAAAGATACTCAAAAGGTCCATGACCTCTGAGGAAGTGTCCTGAGGAGGGCCTCCCAGAGAGTAGTGATACTCTCTGATCTTATCTAGCAAAGAACAAACCAGTTGCTGCATGTGTCAGAGAAGAACGGTATCTGTGGAGTTAGTAGACAAGTAGTATCGGTTGGTCCCAACCAGGGCCTCCCACTGGTAAAAACTCAGTGACATTGAGTCAGTCCTGCTCATAGGGACCTTCTATTGGATTTCTTTTTACATACATATAATTTTTTAATCTTAATTGTGATTTTAACAAAAGTTTGCAGAAAAGCTAGATTTTCATTCATTCACTGTGGCACCTCTCTCCCTCCCTTCCCTCTCCCCCAGTTCACAGAGGGTTTTTTTCAGTTTTGTTTTTTAAATATTCATTCATCGTTGCACAATTACCTCCCTCCCACTCCCTATCCCCAGTTCTCTTTGCAATGTACCTCTTATTCTGGGCTATTGTCTGTCATACAAATAATGCCCAATCATATATTCCTTTTAAACAGTTCTTTTCTTCATCTATTCTAGTGCAATGTTCATTATCTATCCACCCTTATCCTATTCTCGTCCCAAACCCTCATGCCTCTTGAGTTTCTGAGGCTGTCAATCTTCAGAAGAGAAAACTGCCACCTTCTCCTATAGAGTTGCTGGTGGATTCAAATTGTTGACCTTTTGGTGAGCAGCACAATGTAAAATATGCTATGTCACCTGAGCCTGGAAACAAAAAGGAAGAGATGGGCAATTAGCCCCAAAGAAATGTCTTTTCATTATTTTTTCTCATTGCCCAGTCCCCGCTGGAGAATGCTTCAAGAACAGAGAACACTGACTGCATTCCCTATCTCCCATCACCCGAAGCTCACTGTTCTTTGTCAAAGCTTTCTGGTGATGCTGTGAAGAGTAGCAAGTGTCTAGAGATCAGAGGTGTCAGATATGCTCCGCTCGTTATGAGCTGCCTGGCCTTGGACAAGGACCTCCCTGTCCTGACCTGTGCTTTCTCAGTCTGGCCCTGTCAACCTCATAGGGTTATGGTACAGACCAAGTGACACAATGGACAAGGATATGAGGAAAGACATGGAAACACAAAGGAATTTTGAAAATACTTTCATGGGGACAGGTGACGTTTGGGTACAGGACAACAATCTGAACTGTGACAAAAAGAATGCTTTATCTCATTGGTCTGCAATCAATTTGTCAGGAGTTGATCAATATCAGCTGTTGCAATCCCATTTTTGTCCTATTAGCTCACTGTTTTTACAATTTAGTTCAGAAAGCAAGTCAAAGCAAGCTCAGACCTGGTTGTATAGTCCACAGGGTGTTGCGCTGCTACCTCAAAGATAGTGCTTCTCTGCTAGTTCAAATCCATCAGCAGCTCCTTGGAAGAAAGCTGGGCAGACTCCTCCTGTGTGGTTTATCGCCTTCAAAAACCCCCTGGAGGGTGAGCCATGAGTTGGCTGTGACTCAATGGCAATGAGAGAGATTGAGATTGAGAAACTTGGTAACTACAAACTAATGATGACAAAATAAATGCCTTACAACAGAAAAGAAAGGTATAAGATACTTGTACCAAAACTCCTCATGAAAACCCAAAGCAACTGCGGTCAAATGCATTCCAACACATAACGTCCCTTCACTGCATGTCCAAGGCTATAAATCTATGTGGGAGGAGACTATTTTTCTTCCACAGAGTAATTGGTGGATTTGAACTACTGACCTTTCAGTAAGCAGCACACATAACACATCACATTGCTGGAGCTTCTTATAGATAACCAATTATACTAACCTTCATTAAGTTCTTCCTATATACTGGCCACTGGACCAATTGGCAGCATCAGGATGGATGGTGAAGAGATTGAGATTGTACACAGCTTTAGTTTGCTTGGCTCCATAGTCAACAGTCTTGGCACCAG